GACGGTGGCAAGGAGGACGGCGGCGAGACAGATGGCGGCCAGGCAGAGTCGACAAGCTGGGCAGCGCGGTTGAAGGTCGTGCTGCCAAAGCTAGGCAGCACACCAGCTGACACCGCCCAGCAAAGCACAAGACGATAGCGCAAGGGGCGTGAGAGCCCGTCGCTCTTGTTGTGGTCTTGGCTGGCGCACACGGGCGCTTGGAATTGCAGATGCTGGAGTCGATGCGCTCGCGCGCCTGTCGCCGTTGTCGAAGATGCGCACTGAGGCGCCCAAAATGGTGGTGGATGGCAGCGTCGGTGCTTGCTGCGAGCTGGATGATGCCACCGCTCACAGGGGCGCTGCTTGTTGTCGTCGTCCAAGTCAATGCGCACGCGCGCTCGAGGCACTTGCTGCGCACACGGGCGCTCGTCGTCGTTGTCGTCCTGGCGCACGCCGGCGCACGTCGAAAGCTCCGAGCAAATCAAACCATGATGTGCACGCGCAGGGTGGCTGATGGGTAGCTGCTCGTCGCCACCCACCCCACTTGTGAGGATATGAAAGGCATGCATAACGAAATTTGCGTCGAGCCACGGATCAAGCCGAAAACAGTGGCATCAGGAACAAGAATTGGACTCGAAAATGACTCAACCAATCTCATGAATGAAATCTGCAAAAATTTGTGATTTATGCCTATGACGCATAGTTTTGCAAAATTAGCCAAGAGACCTCCGGGTGATGGTACCATTTTCGTGATTTTTGTTTCACTGATGGGTCTGTTTCAGTGGCGGGCCACTCGCGTCAAGTCAGGGTTTGGCTCACATCTTGCGCTGTCAACCAGGGAACACGAGAAACAATCGGACATGCAGGTAAGCGCAATCACAAATTAAGAGTCATAATTAAGTCTGAAGCCGTAAGTTGCACGGTGCAACGCCTGCGCCCGACACTCGTCTGAGACACGAAATCATAATTCATGAGTGCAGAGCATCCTGATGGATCGCAAAAGTGTGCAGATTGAAATAACTTATGCGGAGACAATTGGCAGAATTGAGCGTCTTTTACGTGTGGCAAGCGCATCTGTGGAAATTGTGATTTACGCCTGAGCAGATCAATCCGCACCCTTTCGTTTCATGTGCATGATGCTGCTGCAGCCACACTTTTGCGACGTTGTACCGACGCTATTTGGCTGCAGATCAGATTGCAACTGATTCGGTGGCGGTGACCCTGTCCGACGAGGCAATCAAACCTGAAGTGTCATCTTTATCAACTGACTTGACGACATCCAACGTGAAAAATTGTTAAGGAGGAAGTAAAAT